AGAACCTGTATCATCAACGTTATGCTAGTATGTTCTGTTTAAGCCTTGCAAGCGACTTTACCTCCTACGATTGTTGTGGTGTTAAAGATTTCCGCAATAAATCTTGCCGGTACTGATGAAATATCGATTGTACGTCAGCGTCACGTCGCTTCTGCTGTTCCATGCCGCCCTACTATAAATAAAAATAGCATTTTTTAAACGGCATCCCGCTCGGATACTTCATCATGCTACCCTACTCTAATTGATACACACCTGATTTATAGGTTGTAATGGCGAAGAATGACAGATATGCAACGTCCAGTAATGCAACAGGGGAAAGGTGTATGAGCACCATTTTTCGCTCGCTAGAGTGATCCTTTACACACCTGATATCTACTTTAATTATTGCTATGGTATAATAAACATTTGTTACAGTTTTCTATGGTCGACTAAAACTTAATTATTTTGACAAAACACTTCTACTGTTCTAATACGTTTATAGAAGACAATCATACTCTACTCTCCAAATCGTTAAAGGTCATTTTTATAATTTCTGTCGACCGTAAATACGAGAGCTGAAGGTGCTATTTCCGGTGCACTCGTTTAGGAATTCAGCGGCCCACTACCCGATTTTGTGAAATAGTTTTACACGCAGTGCTTGGATTTATCGGCTGGTGGAGATTTTGATAGAAATCGGCCTCCATTAGTAAGTTTGTTATCGGAGAAGTTTTTCTCACCCTCTTGATGATTTAGCCGTAGACATAACTACACTCAACCATCGAGCTGGTAAGTGACCATTTTCTTCAAGTCGCGTGTTCATTCCCTCAACATGATTCTATAAAGGGAAACTGTCTGCAGTGATAATCTGAGGCGAATTTGAGTAGGAGCAGTTCCCCATTTCTGTGAACCCTCATTGTTCGAGGTAATTATGATTTTTTTTCTTTGCTAGGCCTGTCTTAATCTCGTACAAATTATAAACACAACCACTTCGTTTAAAAATGAATCCATCAGTAATTTTATTTCTGCCAGCTTAGGCGTTCTTATGTAACATTAGGGTTATACTTTAACCATTTAATTGGCCGTTGTTTAGGTCAATACTGATTTCGTCAAACTTATTTAGTCGTAATAAAAGAGAAATGTTTTGAATTTCTTATTGGTAACATTTATATATTGTTCTGTATCATAGTACAACATACACTGATAATAATGTTGTGTTATTTTTCTATTGCTGTAGCTTCTGATTTTGGTTGTATATTTACAGAAGTTTGAGTGAGCCATGCTCATGAGGTAAAATATTCCTGTTGTTCTCAAGTAACATTTTATTTGCTTTACTTATAAGCTGAGGGAGGACATGAAATATTTGACCTCCGGGTGCTTATGTTCTTTACAGGTACCTGATTATTTTAATTTAGTTCAGGTTAATTTAAAAATTTGGGTATTGCTAGTGCAATCACGATTTTCCTTGTACACCGTGATTGAACAGCAACTTTGTTTTAAATTTAAATTTTTGAATTGATGTAACCCAAGACTAAATGGTTCCATGTTAAATTTGAATTTTTAATTCTTAGAAGTAAATTAAAAGGGGAGATTAGTAGTCAAATTGTTATTTCGGGTTTTCTTAACAAGTAATTTTTTCTATTTAGGGTTGTATCTAGGAGTTTTACCTATCGGGTTCCATCTGGGACTTTCTGCCCTCGGTTACCTTATTGTGATAGCCAGGCAGCTGTCAAGGTTTTTTTTATTTTCGTTCTTTTTACTGGAAAACATTTAGCTGGGGGCAATACAATATAACTTTCTTTGCTTGTCCTCCAGGACTAGTTTTGAATTTTTTTTGTTTCTTTTGTTCAATAAATGTTTGTGTACCTTGTGAGTTTGTATCTCCTTTAGCGCCAGAGATCCAAGATTGTTATTTCTTTTCCTAGTGCTTGGAACTAAGTGGCGGCCAAACCACAACCAATTGTATCAAAAAACCAAAATAAAGGCAGCCAGCCACATATAGCTTTTTCGTGCTTTTTGGCTACTCCTCAACAAAGCATAGCAATTACACACTAACCAACGTGTGTGATCTATCGAAATAAGACAGCGCTAAGCGCGATCTACTGCTAGAATCGATTGCTGTAAAACAGTGAATCGCAACATACCGGTTGGGACTGTATAGATCTCAGTCCGCGAAATTGGAAGCCCAGTTTTCTGGCAACGATTCTAGCTATGTAGTAGATGTGCTCTACCTGCCATTGAACAACATAAATCCTAGATAGATAGATCACACACTTGAGATAGTGTATAGTTGCTATGCTTTCGTCCGTTGTCCGAGAGACCCAAGCCTAGACCATGCTGAGAAGTGGCCAAAAAGTACGAAACATCTGTCGATGGTTGGCTGCCTTTGGTCGGAATTTCTGAAGCAGAGCAAGCTTATTTGATTTTGTTCAATGGCTAGTCAATTGCCTTTGTTTTTTATTTGTTTCCGCAAAGCTACCTGTATTTCTTTGTGCTTAGTCATGGGCTTGAAGTACCAAGGCATGTAGCTATAGCTGAGCGTTAGTTGATGCCTCGTCCGCACGAGGTATTCTAACCAAAGCCACAAATGTGCCTGCTGGCTCCTCTCCATCCTTACTTTCCTTCAGATCAGATGGTCATATGTTTTCACTTCGGTGTACATTTGAACCTGATGAAACGTTCGTCGCTCGGGTTACCAATCCTTCTATTTCTACTCGCGTTCCACTATTGGGGACAGGCCCATGATTGTCCTTTGCATTTCAGTCACATAGGTTACTTTATCTATTTTTTGTTGTTATTTATCTATACGTTGGAACTAATTAAGCGCCCTCCAATAAATGTTGTGAGAGTGCTCAAAGTTATGTAATAATAGAACCCTACTACATTGTCCTACTTTAATTAATAACTCCACCCTCTAGACCCAACCAGGAAGTTTCAGTGACATTTAAGGCCTACAACAAACTTTCCACTACGATATGCCAAGACTTCCGTAATTTAGATCTTGTGCTGGCTCGCTGCTATGCTATGATCTACTATAGTGCAAGAGCATTGCTTGGAGTAAGACTCGTGGAGTTATTATTAGCTGTGCCAGACGGGCTATTTGTATTGACCTTTCTGAAGAGAGGTTATGTTCAAAGTTGTCACGTGCCAAAATCACGTAAACTTTTTTTAACTACGTATTTTGATCACTTACTAGTAATTTGAATTCCTCTTTATTAATGGTAGAGTGACCATTGCTAGACCAAACCCTTTTCAATGATTTTCTTTTGGTAAATTTCACAGTTTATTGATTATATAATTTAACACGTATTATATCTTTCTCTCTCAGTGATTCAGTATTGTGTTGAAAAAAAACTCTGTGGTTTTCCTGCGTTACTTGGTTTTCTATCGAGCATATCTTCTTCACGGCCACTCATTGAACCTTCCTTTATAAAGTTTTGTGTTTCATGTCAGTAACTTTCCTCCTGAGATTGTGGTGTGAGCGTCACTTGTTTAACCTCCACATTCTGGGATATGAGGTGCCGAACACCAGTTTGTGGAGTAGTACCCCTTAATATTGTACCTTGCGTTTAGTTGTTTTTTAGCGTGAAAAGACATTGCGGAGAACCACCACACACTCCTTCAGCTTTGTTTGTAGCTGGTTTTCAGCCCTTCCTCTTGATAAAGTTATACATTACAGTTTTCTCCGTTTTTTTTTTAGTTTTCAAAAACTTTGAGAAGCATTACGGGAAACCAGCTACGCACCCGCGCTGCATGTAATTAAGCCACATCACAGAAAAATTAGGATCGATGCATCACATATAAAATATTTTCGCACTGCCTCACATCCAGCGCTGACTTATATTTTCTACTTGACATCGTAAGATAAACTTATAAAATTTAAATGACTGGAAATAAAAATTAATGTGAAATTTATGTAGCATATTTTCACACCTGTTAGTTTCGATATACTTCACCAGGCAGATACTTTCTTATCTTATCGCTCTCTGTTTCCGCGAATTGAAAACAATCGGCTCAACGTGGCAACGTCGAGAGAGAGTTGAGAGAACAAGATACAGTCCACACGTTTTTCTTCTCAGCACGACAAAAACTGTCTAAATAATTGTAAAATTTGAATATCAACGTGAAAGAGTGTTATTGTAAAACGTCTAATACAGACTGCAATTGTGTATAACAATAAAACTCCAAGAATTCAACGCAGCGAGCAACAAAGTCTGTTCTTCATTTCACCCCACAAGGCGGCGACCTAACCTCTCAACACTCTCTTTTTTGAAATCCAGCAAATTTGCATATGTAATTTACGGGTTGAATAAGAAAAAGCGGATGCGTAACTAATTTTTAGCTTTGCATACATCCCAAGTAAGTGTATTTGAGACAAGGAACCAATGCAATTATCATCAACACAGATTATATTAGCATAAATATCCTTATGCACTGTCGTTTCTCTCCAGCTGTAGTATACAACTTACAGCTTAGACCTCCAATAATGCCACCTCTAAAGCAGATGTTTTATCACATCAGATCTAAACATTGATAGGTGAAGCATCATGACGTTTAGGCAACACGTACAGCTATGAACCGAGTACGCAACAAGTGTACAACAGCTAGTGCTAAGTTAACATTTTGTAGAAAAACCTACATAATATCACAAAAAACCTATATAATGTCAAAAGAAAAAATCAACACAATGTCACTTTTCAAGATGGGTGAAACCCCTGCCGGGGTAACATCAGATAATTGTTTCATTCCTGCACCGGCCGCTGAATGAAGCGATTGATGTTGAATCAAAGTGATTTATGACGTTTCAGCTACTGGTGCTATAAGCCCATCTCTCGAAGAAAAAACTAAATCCAAACATTGTCTGGCATGCGTCACGTGACAGCAGAATGCCGGATGTACGGGGAAACTTCTAACGTGTGGAATATAGCTAATAGGTGGGTAGACGAAGACACCTATCAATGTGATTTGCTGGATTCTGGTTTCATAGTTGATTGGATATTATGAGAATAAAGAGGTATACTTACTTCCATGAGGGAAAAATTTGGAATATATTTCCTTAAAGCTATCTTCGTGTACTACACCCTCGGGACATTCCTGAAACAAAAAGATGAATTATCATAATTGTTAGTATTTTTTTCCTTTAACAGATCAGGCAGTGCAGTGTTATTTCTATAAAGCAATAGGTCACACCTATAGAAATAAGATATTTACACTTGGTGAGAATATTAAGTTGGTGAATTTGGATAATTCTAATCGAAACATTTATATTTTCCAAATACACTAGATTAACCTTCACCTTTTCTCACATAATTAACACCACACTTTTGTACATCCAGTTGTAGAAAATAAGGGTAACACCCACATTACTAACAATATGTTTATATCAACTTTTTTGAATCCTGAAGCCTATTCGGCCAAAATGAATATAAAGACCTTTCAACTTACAGCATTCCTTGAAAGTTTAGACGTGGGGTTAGATGCCTTCGTGTTTTTCCGTCTACTATATCGTAATGTCATATAATCGACAGTTCGCTAAAGATCACTCTAGTCCTTCTTGGAAAACACAAATAACATATCGAACTGATTGTGGAAAAAAGTGTCAGAATTTGTCTATTTTGTTTCACTGTACAAATTCGTTAGGACACAGCCTGTATGATCGAGCAAGAATGTGAAATGCTTTATAACTGTTACAATGTACACAAGGAAATTTTAATTCGCTCGTCGTTCATATTTGGATGATTTTCCAACCTTTTCCAGCATTAAACCAGCGCAGAGAGTTTTTTCCTCTTCCTCACTTGACTCGAATGGAAAGCTCGCCCGCTGCAATTAAAAAGATTAAAAACCTTCTACCTCTTCAACGGAATTGCGGCTGCAAACATTTTTTGGACCAAAGAAGAAAGCTTTCGGATTTATTCAGAAACAGGCCCGTATATATACATCTCTCCTTCTCAATCTCTTAACAACCGCCTTGCCTGGCGGTTGCTCATCGCGTACGAATATTTATTCAGGTGGATTGGATATTGTTAAAAGTGAAAAACGCAGCTGATAAAGACAGCCTAGTGTTTTTTAATGTTTCGAACGGGAATCTTCTCAGACCTTGGCACCCGCTATTTTAAGAATTACGTTCAGTAACTGATGTAGAAACGTTTTAATATCTAAGCGGAATGGCGTTGTAATCTCCTGCGTATTCAAAATTTTTGGGATTTCCAAAATGTTCAGTTTTCAAAATTTTCAGCTCACAAATTTTCCAAATCTGCAAAATTACCAAAATTTTTAAGATTTTCTAAATCTTCATGACTCTTGAACCGGGCCCTCAACATCATGGTGGAAATATGACAAATTTGTTTTTAAAATCACTTGAGGACAAACTAGGTGCATATCCTACATATTATATAAAACTGTTTTTGGCTATTATATTTATTAAATTTGGAAACAAATTCGTCAAGCAGATTGAGTATATACTTGCCACTCCTTAAAAACAACTTCTAATACAACTTACTTGCATGTGTGTGTAGAGCCATCAAAAAGAGGTAGGTTTTGTTTGAACTAATAGTGCACTATTTGAGCTTTTCATGAAAAATCCTCAGATTGCAGCAACGAATATCCTCATTTCTTAAAGTGTTTGACAACAATGTTTGATAACTGATATAATATAACATTACGGATCAAGTAACTTCATTAAATTACACTCCAAGAATAACGCTCGTATATACAGGATGTTCCCTTGAAAATTTTAATTGACAAGGGGTATAAAGTAATAGCTTGTTTGAAAGGTCTTTCGAAATCCTTTATTTTGACGATTGATTTTTTAAAATTATCGATTTGTTTTCGAGTAAATTAGAAAAATCTTTATTCATCCTGATTCGTTCACTTTTTAGTTCAAAATGTTGCCCGTTATGGTTTGCCACATCTACAGTTCGTTTATAATTTAAAACGGAAACATAACAACAAGGAAGATTAGACGTGGCAACATGCAAATAACAACACGAATTTTTTTCCACATTCTTTTCATCAACACAGATATCCTGGGCAAACTGCTTAGTTATTTGTTGCTAATCTTGGGTTAGTGAAAATTAATTTATTGATTCAGATTTTACTTCGAAAATGGTTTACACACTAGAGTAGAAATGGTTCTCATTTATGGTGCCGAAAATCAATGTGATGGCAAACTACAGTCACGTTTAATGTCAGATATTCGGGGAAGATAACTTCGCATAGGTATGTTTTGGACCTTGATACTAAATTTACTCAAACTGGATCTGTTGCAAATAAAAACGTGATCATCGGAGGGTTTTGGATGAAGCCGCTAAAGTTGAAGTTTTGGGTCATTTTGGAATACATCCTAATACTTCATTACGCAAAATTGTTGCTGCGACTGGTATTTTATTAGGCTCTGTACGCACAGTTACTAAATTCCATTCAAAATCAAAATATTGCAAGAGTTAAACGAAGATGATTTCGATAGGGAAGCTGAGTTTTGCGAACAAACGACTGCAGCGATTAATGATAATACCATTCATGTAAAGAATAGCTGCTTCAGTGATGAATGCACATTTTATCTAAATGGATTTAGTAATAAGCATAACTGCAGGTATTGGAGCAATGAAAATCCTCATGCTTTTGTAGAAGAGCATATCCATTACCCTCAAAAAATGAATGTATGCGCAGGCATTTTAGGAAACAAAGTTATTGATGAAAATTTGAATGGGGACATTTATTTGGTTATGTTGGAATATATCATCAATCGGCTTCACTGAAACCGTTGAAAACCAAATCGAAGAGGTTGGAAACCCTTAACTTAATGAGGCTGAAATATATATCCAGCAAGGCGACGCTCCTCCTTACTATATTCTTCCAGTTCGGCAATGGCTAGACGAGTTTCCAGATAAATGGATAGGGCGAAAAGGGCCTATAAAATGGCCTGCTAGATCTACTGATTTGACGCCATTAGACTTCTTTCTCTGGGGCCATTTGAAATCTATTGTGTTTACTCCCCAACTTGAAAGTTTAGATGAACTTCGTCAACGCTTCGTCGAAAGCTGCCATGATATCCCACAACATGTTTTTGAAAATGTCCGTCAGAAATTTGAATATCGCCTATATTATTGTTTGGCCAATAACTTATTGCAATAAAAAGTGATATTTTTGTGTGTAATTGTTTTCTTCCTGCATAAATTAAGATAAATAAAGATTTTTCTAATTTTCTCACATTCACTGTTCGATCGGTAGCATTATGTCACCTCGAGGAACAGGGGTGGTACCTGCGCACCGCACGCGCGGGGTTAATTTAGAACTGCTCCTTGTGTTAGAGATACACACGTGTTTAGCTCTTTCGCTATTTAGGTCTTTTCATTCCTTAGACTGCTGCTCTTATTTTTTATCTGTAGTATTTCGCAAGTATTATGACTTCAATGACGAAACTTGGAGTTGCTCAACTTTTAGTAGAAAGAACCGACAAATGTTATAACATTTTTAGAAGAGCATTAAATAGGATAGTTTTTAAGATCATTTGCCGATTCAGTGTGGAAAATTTGTTCACAGTAATCAGTCAAACTTTAGTAAAGGTTTTCACATTGAAACAAAATGTATTAATTTTTCTTAGTATACCGTGCTAGTGTTCAATGAAATGCATACTCGGTTGTCTCAACCAGCTATTAATGGTATCCCATGGAAAAACTCATAAGTTAGAAGTTCTTAATAGCAATAATAGGCAAAAAGGAGCAAAAGGTAGTGATTTTTTGAAAAAACCTAAAAGTGACAATATCTCGAAAACTAGAAAACTTTTACTAAGGTCATGTTGATTTTATCTGATTGATCTGAAGCCACTCTACCCCCAGTGTCACTCTGGCGTGTTATTTCTGCAATAAAAATGCGGAGTATGCCTTCTTTTGTTTTTATTATAAATCGTCCCTGTACTATATCGGCCTGTACAGATAAAAGTTTTTGAGTGTTCGCCAAGAAATGCTGATAGGACAAATAATTTCTTTAGAAAACTGGATCCTGATTAATGAGCAATTTTTCAATAGGCTGAACTCAAGGACACATTGTCGGCATGTCAAGCAGTGGAAAATTGATTGAGACTGCAAAAATGATGGCATGCTATAGTAGCCCTTCACAATAAAGCGGGTATCACGAACAACTGGTGAAGAATTCGCTAACAATACATGTAGGTGTATGCTTCTATATTGTGCATTAAAGATGCTATAGTAGTAAAGTGGCATTTTATTAGACAAATATCAAAAAGTGTGTACATATTTTTTATTGAAATATAAGACTGTGACTAATTATAACGATTAATGTAATCCTCAAGAAATGTTCTTTCGAAATAAGTGCCATCTGTTACCAGAATCGACTACTGCGAAAGTGAAAGCAGCAGGTTGTTGGAACCAATGAGTTCGGACTAGATGAAAGGAGCCAGTCAAAGATTTGTTTTTCTCCTTATTCTCATAGTCTGTAGTGAGGATCAAAGTACAATTGACATAAATCAATTTTTAGACTGCTGTCATTAAATATGTATTTTTAGAGTTATTTTTAGTGTCTGTAGACAATTGAGGTGTTAAACGTTTTCAAGGCATGGTGCTTCTTACATAATTTACAAAGCCTAATGAAGGTTGATGTTTCCACATTTCCTTTGACATGAATTTTAGGGTAGGAATAAGATATCGAGATGAGGTTTTCGCAATTCTGTCGGAATGTCGAAAAAAGCCTTCTAGCGGCCACATGTGAAACTAACAAAACTTCAAATATAACATGTTTAGCTCAAGAATAGCTCTTTCTAACTAGCCGTTTCGAAGACACACATCATAGGTTTCCCCTTACGTTTGTCTTCAGAATAGTATGATAGAGAAATATTCTGCTATTTGCAATCAGCGCCTGGCGTAACTGTTCTGCTCAAATTGCGACAGTGCTTCGATGGCCACCTCTGACGATATGGGAAACGGCAACGTTGCCAGATGGCCAGTAACTACCGGTAGGCCACGAAAAAATGACTATGGACTAATGGATTGGACCTGTTTGACTGACTTGACTATTTTTTCTCAGAGTGCTGAACATACTCCTTTAAGAACTAATAATGTCGTTGCGTGCAGAGTCAACCTACTTGACGTCGTTTTTTGCTATACAACAAAAAAGGATTGCTATTAGAATAATTCTTTCACTTATTCGTGACCAAAAGTATAAAAAGTCACGATATTTAAGTGAGTAATATGTCTTTATTACATGATCAACATTATAACATGACATTAAAAGTATGATGAAATGGCTAAAACCCGAAATGCTGTGACAACTTGGTCTAGCTGGTCAGAACGAGGTGAAGTCACTGGCAGTTGGTTAGTCTTAGGGGTAACCTATACATTCATGGCCAAACCTAGTATTAGCCGGTTGCATTCGATTAAAGCTAGGTCCAACCAACTTTTCTCGGCTACACTTAGGTCTAGCCAATCCTTAGTGGTTTAAACTAGATGTAAACGTTACAAACAGGTTTAGACGGGTAGGTGGTAGTTGACCTCTGACTGTCGAACGCGGAGGTACCACTCGGCGGATCTCGTAGGCGGAGCCAGAATGTGTGCATGTTGCATGCACACCGCCAGAGTCCATGTGGCGTTCCCCCTTTCCCCTGTATCCCCATATAGCCCCACGGTACCCAATGGGTGTTTAGGCCTTAGGCCTTCGTGGTAGTTGGAGTATAAAAAAAATTACGAATCAAAATTTTTAGACCTTGAAAGCAAATCACTGGGACAAATCGCCAATGCCCAATCTTAATCTGGTGACAAGGCTATTAAATATGTCACTGTAAAACCAAGTGTGGGAGAAAGTGTCTTTGTAAAGCTGCTGGTATTTTGTGTATCTCTAAATATCATTCATGTTTAGGTGGTTCAACCCAGTTTTTTCATAACACTGGGTACGTTAACCATCTATTTTTTTATTAGTTAATTGGTTTAATGAATTTTTCAATAATTTGTGTTAGGTAATTAAATTGTTATATTCGTACGAAATATTTAAAATTGTAAAGTTCAGTTCCAGTTACGACAAAAAATTATGTTTAAACTGCTATATAGTTATACCCGCATGAAATATTTGAAATTGTAAAGTTCAGTTACAGTTACGACAAAAAATTATGTTTAAACTGTTATACGCTTATACACGAATGAAATATTTTAAAATTGTAAAGTTCAGTTACAGTAACAAATAAAAATTATGTTTTTAGTTGTTATACGAGTACCCACATCAAAATAAAGATATTCTAAAATTCGGTTACAGTTTTTAAAAATATGTTTAAATTGTAAAGTAGTTCAGTTACAGCTATGAAAAAAATGTTGTTACTTGAATAAGTTTTTTTTATTGTTGCGGTGACTTACCTGTGACGATAATGCCAAGTTATGGCTGAGTTATGTTTAAGAAATTTATTGCTGAAATAAATAATATCAAAACGATGACATTATATTTCCTTTAAAAATACATACATATACATACTATGAACTATAAAAATGCCTGTTACTATATACGTGATAGAATAAATAAACTATTAAATGATTTTTAAATTTTAGAGTTACTGTGTACCTATATAAAATATTAACAAAGATTAAGTGCTACCAAAATTTGTGTGTTACTATGTATTGAAAATATATTGTTTGAGTAG